GATAGAAAAGACAGTGGTTTTTTTTTTCTATATGGTTCTTCTCTTGCAAATTACGCGTGTATTTCGCATCTTTTGTACTGCTGTCTGACACACGGCACAAATTTAACAAGAACAATCTTATCAACATCTTTCTCACCTACCGAATGCATTGGGTGTCGGCATGCCTCGTTCACATGGATTATATGTGGAATTACAGAATAATTTATCGTTCAAACTCTATAATTACGATTGAAATCGTAAAATATAAGACATATTTTAAAAGATGATTTACACTAGGACAGATTCCTTGTCTTTGACCATATGTTACAGTTTTACGGGTAGCAATAATAAAGGCATTGGTTTCCTATATAAAGATTATATAAGGCATTGATAAATAGACTAGAGAAGAGCACATACAATAGATGGTATAACGTAGTCAGCTGCATCCCACAATGCTTGACCTGCATTATCTAAGATTGAAATCAAAATAAAAAGAGTAAGTTTGTTTGCTCTATCGATTATTAAAAAAAGGATACCAGAAAGAAGACTGGAATTGTGAATCGAAATTCGTGCCGCACCTTTAACTTTGATTACACTAGAACCTTGTGGGTCTTGAAATTGTTGATATCCCTTCTTTATCAAGATAATATAGCTAGAAAAGAGAAGCTTTTTTCGTCCGAAAGAAAGAAATATGATCGCCTTGATAAATTGATTACGTACAAGGCAACAAAAATTAGGATTAAAAATTGAAGAAGACGATGAAGCACAGCAACAAAAGTACTGTGCACTTTAATCTCTTTAACAGTAGAATACGTGACAAAGAAATCTAACAATGATGAACGAAGCGAATTGATCATAGTGGATGCCATTAATCGATATTATCAATGTACTAAAATAAAAATCTAGAATCAATAATTTGATATAGAATCTTCATCAAGAGAGTTTTCATTTCAAACTAAATATTTTGACAGTTTGTAGCTCTATCATTTGAATGATCATTAAGCCGCGACAGAGAATCGTATAGAAAGAATTTTGCATGCCTTTGGATCGAAACAAACAAAACACATCTGAAAGATGTCCAAAAAACGGTTGGTATATGTTAAAAAAAGAAAGTGAAAATTCTCTTCGAATGATCTGTTAGATATCGACGATAGTTGATTACTTTCCTTATTCTGAACAGCAATCATACAGTCAAAGAAAAAAAAATCATTGGAACAGTGTTAACTTTTATCTTTGGAATATTTTATTTATAATGTGATTAAATAATAATTTCATCAATCATGTCCTACAGAACGATACGAAAATGATTCGACAATGACTGTCGTTATGTATATTGTTTATCCTTGTTATTATATTTAAATAAGATTTTTCAATAGTTTCATAATTTATATAAGCTTTCTGCTTCCTAATTTCTATGCATGAATTCCATCGATCAAATAAAATGAGCTTAATAAGAACACAAAGTACTATGCAATGGTGCGAATAGAACTAAACAGGATTAAACTAGTATATGTTTATGAATTTCCTTGTCCATAGTTGACTCGCATACAACTCGTATTCTCGTTTCAAAAAATAAAGTAACCATGAAATTCAATCAGAAAGAGTTAGAGTATATCTGACATTTTAAAACTTCACAATTATTTTCTATCACCAGACTCAAAAGTATTAAATATATATATATACATATAACTACAATTAACAGTTTTTACTTATCGGATATAAAACTGATTGACTTTGTCCTGACATTTCTTATGACACTTTTGTCTGTATAACATATGTACAGTCAACCCTCGAAATACTGGCACGCGAGATTAAAAACAACTTTGGCATATAATGACGCATCTGAAATTGGTCGGTTGATATTGAACGACAGTCAGTGAATGAAACATAAAAGTGGTCAAAGACGATAAGAAAGTTATGCTAGTTTTTGTTAATATAAAATATGAAATAACTATTAAAAAAAACTAGTTGTCACACTGAATGTCACACAAGATTATTATGTGCTAACTACTACACAGATGAAATCAAAATAAATACATTATATGTCATTTGATTTCATATTTAAAGAGCTATCAAGAGTCATGCGAATTAATACTAAATTGTGTCTCAGAAGTTAATAAATTCCCACAAAAAGGTCACTAATTATATAGGTGTCACCTTGAATTTAAATAGCAATTTTAAAAAAATCTCATATCTCGGCTAATTTGACAGTGGTAGTCGGGAAAATTTATTCATATTCTCTTTTCATATGTAGTACCATACAATGCACTAATCATCGTTTTAAAAATTGAAATTTTTTTTCGTCCATTTTTTTCACAGAACGGTACAATAATTTTCCAATTCACTCAGACATGTGTTAATAATCGTGCACGTGTCGTAAGTGTAACCGTGTCCTCTATTTCAATGAAGTTCGTACGGATATTGTGTTTCAAGGATCAGTAAGCGTCTCGTGAGTTGCAGCGATTCTTAAATGAAAGACAATTTCAATTAAAATCTTTGTCATAACGAATTGGAAAAGAGGATATCTATAAAAGAAAAAAAAAAACTTATTAATCCTCGTTTTAATCGGTCATCTTCCTTAACAAATTCAGTTTGTTGTGTTATTTAACATTCTTTTATTTATTATTTTTTTCTACTTGCGATTGTTTTATCGAGAATATTAAAGTGGTTTTGTAGATCAAAGTTCACTCTACAAAGACTTATGCGAAGAGAGCTATTCAAGAAGAAAGGAATATGATAGAGAAATCTACTTTTAGGTAGTATCGTTTCATCATCATAGACAGCGTGTAGATATGTCTATGCATGAGTTCACTTTTATTGTCTTCTTTTTTTACCTTCTCGTTGTCTATCTTCTGTTTATTGTATGCGAATAATTATTATGAAGAAAAGAAAGATATCCCGACGCTCTTTACCGAGGCAAATGTTGATATTAATATTGCTGTAATAATAGCAAATATAATACAGAAGAAGAATAGAAGAAAATTATTTTTGTTGGAAAGATATGACATATGTCGTACCATTTCTTTTCTCAGCAAGAAAAAGACTGTGTTGTTTATCTAAAATTCTTTTATCTAATAAACGATCATAAATATAATAGGTTGGTCTAATTATCATCTTATGCATTAGAGTCGATGTTTGTAAAGTGGAAGGTTTTAGGAGTGCTTTTGTTTCGTTGTCTATATCTCAAATATTGCAATCACTAAAATTTTTCTTTTGTACCCTGAGCAAGAGACTTTATTTCTCTATTGTCTCTTATAAAAAAAACATCGCAGCTACTCTGCTGATTGAGTATTTCGTGGTATGAAATGAAATATCTAAAACGTTCGTTTTATCGGCCATGTTGGTAAAGCGAACGGTACAGCGATTCAGCTCAATCAGTTCAATTTTCGAATTTTAATGACACTGTTATAAAATATATTATGTGTTCTCTTTATCTGCCTTACACATAAAGCGAACACGCTAGCTATTTTAGCTTGAGATAAACTACTCAAGAGCATTCCATTAACTATGATGATCTTTAACAAAACTCTTCAGAACGCTTAGACCTGATCCTAACCAGAGGTTAAAAAAACACTGCTGAGTTTTTTTAATGCACGGTTCTCCTTTTGATTTTTCGTCTTTTATGAATAAGAATTATAACGAATGCGTTTTGTTGGTAATGAACACTTTCGAACCACATGAGAAACTTGCGTGAGTCTGAGATTAGCGTTCAAGCACTTCAAGCTGGTAATGAATGTTTTGAAGTAACCATAGAGTCTTTCGGATCATTGATGAATTTATGAGGGTGTGAGCGTTTTGGTATTGATCATCTCATCATCCACACTCGCACTCTCACCCACATCCTCTTAGAATGGGCTATTCGGACTGAAACTTTCCGTAATGAATAGTCCCAGTGAGAAATACTTGTGGTAAACATTTCAAGCTGTTTTTATAGCCTTCAGAAGAATTGAAATAACTTCATTGTTAGAAGATGTACAGAGCTCGGTTTGATTTCAAATTAAAGCTAGCATTTGTGCACAACTTTTCATAGGACAGATTTTTGAAACTCCCTTACGTTCATTTTTTATGAGCACTTTTGTGAATATGATGTTCAAAATAAGCATAATAAATGTGACTTCACGACAGAAAATCCCACTTTTCTCAGCCCAGGAATCAAATATAAANAGAGAAGATTCGTTTCCTCTCTGTGGTATTCGTTCTTCATGTGATCATAGAGTTGTTTGAGATCGTTGTCATGATCACTGCATAATGTCATTCGAATGATCGACATTGTCGCATCAGCTGATGATTGATCATGACAGATCTCATTCAAACAAAAGATCGAACCCAGCATGAATAGTATTTTAGACTTCCCATGTCATCAAAATCACGCAAAAATCGTCGATTTTATCGCGATTTATTAGCCCAATTAATAGTGAGATTATATCGTGATTAATCGCCTAAATTGGCGATTTTTCCGATTTTGGACCCACGCCTATGACTAGGTCTCGACCTGTATGCCACTGTCGTTTACCATCGTACTCGTACGTGTTTCTGGCCAATAGAGGCGTCGGCTTAGCATTGGCAACAGATTAATACTAACAGCATTACCTTTGTGTTACGATCATAAGAGAAAAGTATTGAAATTTATATTGATTAATGTAATGCTAAAGCGAAGCCGTATCCCTGACTAATTTCAATTCTTTTATCTTGCAGTTTTATTTCAAAAGCATTGTGACTACTATGTTTTTTTTTTTTTTTTTTTTTTGGAGTCAAAGCCTTTATTATGATGTTAAGAGGAAGAAACACGAAAAAGAGATGATATATACAAAAGGCTGGAAAACAAACGGAGAGACGCATGACAAGTGTCTTTTGTCTCATGAAAACTGTTTATACGTTATGTTTAGTTTTTAACGTTGTACATGATGCAAACTTGTAGTATGCGAAGCCGATATAACAATTTTTATATGGATTGTGTCGACTCATCAGTGATCTATAATAACGAAGTATATATTATATATAATAGGTAGGTGATTTGTTTTTCAAAGTGGATTGAATATTTCTTCTAGGTTATTTTTTAGTACGTTGTCGTTGTTCGATGTTGCAGTTTGAATATGCCGCTGAAGTAATGAGACAGCATATTCTTTAATTTTGGGTACATTGGTTATTTGATGAATGTATTCAACTGATGTGTATATGGGCAATCCTAAAGCTGCACGTATTGATTTATTTTGTATAATTTGTAGGCGTTCCCATATTTTATCATTAGCCTGAAGTAATATTGGATAACCATATACAAGGATCGTTCTTGCTATGGATTTAAAGATGTTTAACATTATTTTGTCGTTCAGTTGATAAGAAGCTTTGCTAAGGAATCTTAATGAACTGATACGACCAGCAATCTTCGATTCTATATGGTGTATATGACTTCTCCAGTTTAAAGTTTTATCGATGATGATGCCTAAGTATCTTGTTGAGTTGGTTGGCTGAATTGTTACAGCATCTATTTTTACTGATACTGGATTGTTGAATTTTCTTCTTGGATGGAGTGTGAAATGGACTAATTCAGTTTTAGTTGGCTGAAGCTTTAACTTCCATGATTTACACCAGCTTTGAAAAGCATCTGAAGCTTGTTGTAGTCTGGAGCTAAGATTTGATGTTGTATTTGATGATGTCCATAATGCAGTGTCGTCAGCAAACAAACCATACTCTGTGTGTTCAGGTAGTCCGCTCATTGAATCTACCGTGTAGATAATATATAATAATGGTGATAACGGAGATCCTTGAGGAGTACCGCTGTTTAGATGGAATGGTGTTGACAAGCTGTTTTCTATTTCAATTCAAGCAGTTCGATTTTGTAGGAATGAAATGAGATAATACATTAAATATTGTGGAATACGTAATTCATTTAATTTATATATTAGTCCATCGTGCCAGACAGAATCGAAGGCTGCTTTAATATCAAATAGAATGACTGCTGAATGTCTTCGACGACCATTTTGCTGTAGATTATTACGTGCATATTTAGTTAACCTTATCATGTTGTTTAAGGTGCTCTTTTTAGGTCTGAAGCCGGCTTGATGTTCTGGTAGGATGTTTCGTTGTTCCAGAATGTCCATCAGTCGTTGCTTTATTATTTTCTCCAGAAGTTTGCCAAGGCAACTAAGGAGACTTATTGGACGATAACTTGAAGGCTGTTGTTTATCTTTATTTGGCTTTAATAAGAGTATAATATTAGCCTTTTTCCATCCATTTGGTATATATCCAATACTTAATGCAAAGTTAAATAATTTAGTTAAATGCCGTGTAGTTCTTTAAACACCTATTGTGAATGTTGTCAGGACCACATGAGCTATTTCGAAGTTGTTTAATCGTCCATTTAACTTCTTTAGAAGTGATCTTCTTCCACTTGTTTAGTTTCGTGTTAGAAGATCCATGTATGATGTTATGTGCCTGCTGTATAACTTGCTGATGAAATGGCAGTGTGTCCGGTGGTTTGACATAAACTTCATTTTGGAAATATTCAGCAAATAAATCGGCTTTTTCTTTGTCGGATGTTGCTATAACGTTATTATATCGGACATTGTAGGAGTGTGTTTGCTCGATACGCTTGTTGTGAAACTTGCGAACCGTAAGCCATACTGCATCTGAATACATTTTCTTTTGACAGAGTGATGACATAAGTTTGTTGAAATTGTTTTTTCTGTCATTTTTAAGTGAATTGGTTAATAGCACCTTGTAATTATAATATTGTTGTTTTTCACTATCTTCTCCAGTCTTCTTCCATTTGCGATAAGTTTTATGTTTGAGCTGGATTAGATGTTTGGTTGCTTCACTTAGTTTAATGTTTGTATTCAGTTGTTTCGATGTTGGTATAGCTTCTTGTGTTGCTGAAGTAATACTGTTGGTAATGAACGATGTGTATTCTTCTATATCTAATGCTGAATTGATGAGACGATTATTGTTCCATAGCATTAGTTGTTCATTTAATTTACTTCTGAATTTTGGCCAATTCGCTGCTTTGAAGTTAAGGGATAATCTTGGAGATGGTGGTTTTGGTTCAACTCCAATTGGGATATCGAAGGTTAACGGTTTATGTCCACTTTGTGTGCCTATTGTTGGATGAGTTTCGACATGTGATATAAATGAAAGAAGTGGTTGACTTGCTAATATCCAGTCAAATTTTTCTTCATAGTCATTCTTTTCAAATGTTGTACTATCATCGTTGACACATTCAATAAAGCCTTCTTTGAATAATTCTTGCAGCTGTCTTCCTCTAGCATTTATTTTTCTTGATCCCATATGATACAATGTTGCATTTAAATCTCCTACAATAATACAGTTGTTGTTGATGTTGTAAAGTTCGTGAATAATGTTGAGGTCAATTTTGGCTGTAGGTGGAACGTAAACGGAGGATACCAGTATGGATTTGAATGTGTTTGTTTCAATCTGTACTGCTATCACTTCATTTTTTTGTGTTGTTGAGTTAAGTACTTCTTGACATTTGATATGTTGTTTCACGGCCAATAACACTCCCCCACCAGTTTTTCCTACTCGATCATTTCTGAAAATGTTATAACCCATTAGAGAGAACGAGCGTTCGCTCTTAAGATTAGTTTCGTTTACAGACTTGATGTCGTATTTGGAGAATCTGGCTAGGAGTTCGTTTTTATGTTTTGTAATGGAGTATATGTTAATATGGCATATACTAATCATCGTTGTTGCTTGTTTTTAGGTCTTTGCTATCAAATGTCGATGCATCTAAGGAGCTGTTGGGTGATCGAACTCTTTTGGTTGGTTTTGATTCTTCTTTAGCTTTTCGTGGTGGTTTTGATGAAGTTACATTTGAAGTTGTTGTTGGTTTGCTTGATGTATCAGTTGCTGAGGTGGTTAATTTGGTTATTGCTACCTTTTGTTTTTGCTTGTTTCTAATGTGTTTAACTACTTGACTTTCTTCTTCTGAATCAGAATCCGAGATAGTCAAGGCATCTTTAACGTTGTTGTCGTGTGTTTCGATGAATGTTTCGATCTTTTTGATCTTCTTAAGTAGCGTCTGGAATAGTCCGCTGGTTGTTTCTTCGATAATCTTTTCCATTTTGCTGCTTAATACATTGATAATTTCATCGAATAATTCATTATGAATGTGTTCTTGTTGACGTTGTAAGAGGTTTGGTAGCGATGGAAATTCGTTTAAGTCATGAATGGCTGGAGCTGATGTTGTTGGTATATTCGGAGCGGAATATTGATTAACTAAATTGTTAATTCTTTTCTCCTGTTCTTTATAAGTTGCACATTCACTTGATGTTGCTATATGACTACCGTTACAATTGAAGCATTTTACCACATCACTAGCAGCAGCACATTGTTCAATCCTATGATTTTCACCAGATCGAGCACATATCTCCTGCTTCGTTTTGCAGTATTTTGCCACATGATTGTATTTCAGACATATATAGCATTTTACAGGTTTGGTGTTTTGATTTGCTGCTTCAGCTGTGAAATGCATTGAGTCCACTTGTAGACCAGTATGAACGAATGTATTTCGATTTTGTGGATCACTAAATGTAATCTTGATCGTTCTAGTAGGAACGTTTTTAGTTTTATTCATTAGTCGAACAACATCTATAGCATCAAGTCCAATGTCCTCTAATGCTTCAGTTATTCGACCTTCCAGAATTTCTATGTCGCCATTTTTAACAAACGCGACTTTTTTCGTATCTTTGATACGTTGAATGGATCGGGGCACATATATTTTAGCTGTAGCCTGTCCGTTTGTCGCAAGTATTGGTGTTAACTCATTTAATAGACGATTAAACGAGCTAACATCAGCTGCATATATTGTAAAATGGCCTGATCGACTTAGCTGAATATCAGATATTCGTAAGTCCTTTAAATGCTGTTTGATAACATCATTTAATTACAAATTTATGTAGCTTAACGCCCTGTAGAATTAGAGGAGCGATGCTAAAATTTGATTGCTTTATCAGGCCAGCCTTTGTTCCTGAAGAAGTTTTTGTTGTAGCAGAGGCCTTTGTTCTCGGATTATGACTCATCGCCATTGTTCCTCCAACATCAGCTACTGCTGTTTGACCTTGATTTACATTTTCACCATTACAAATAATTTGTCCTTGTTTGGATAAATTAGTTCCTCCTTTTCTGGGAGGCATAATTAACGACGAACCACTCGTAGAATCGACTGGAACTAATTAATTTAATTAATAATTTCAAAAATAATTTCAAAATAATGTAATATAATTAATTAATCAAATGAATAAATTCGACGAGTTGAATAAAGAAATGTGTGTAACCGACGAAAAAAAGATGCGACCTATCTCGACGGTGAAAAATAACGAATGATTGAAAGTACTTAAATAGTAACTTTTTTGGATCAAAACTTTTACATGAGTAGAGTTTCATTATTTTATCTAATTTCAAAAATAAAGGTTTATTTCATTTTCATTTCCGTCTTTTTTCATATCTGAAATATTATCGAGACATATTCTTTTCTATCATCTTTTGTATTTTCAATTTTTTTCTTTATTTACACTAATTTGTTCTAACATAATTAGTTTTGCTGGCACAAGACGACAATTCTAGATAACCTGCACGNCTTCATTCAGTAATAAAAAGTCTAAAACCTGATGATTTTTATAAATATCAATCAGCAAAATAGAAACTTTTTACTTGATGTCAGACAGAAAACCATCCGATACGTTTGTGATCTATTTTCAAATTTTGCATCGAAAGTTTTTTTTGACTGATCCTATCTCTCAATTGCATTGTCTTTTTTTCTTTTTGTTTCGAAATAATCACGTAGCTTGTATTTCTCCTTAATTAAACCACAACGCACTTATCAAAAGTGATGCTTTTATACCATATCTTGTTGAATCTGATCATGTGAAGTCCAAGACTTTCTCAACTGAAAATTCAATAAAATCAAACAAAGAATTGATTTCGAAATGTGAACGATTATAATTCACAGAATATTATTTTTATTATTCATCATTCATTTTTATGCTGATAAATTCAATTAAGCAAAATGATTTCGATGTGGAAATCATCTGTTTTTTTTTATATAGAAATCATTCGTTTATTTAAGAGATTTCTTTTCATATTATGCCGATTATTTATATGAATATATTCAATGTGATGATGAATCATAATTTCTTTTGTTTGTTTCCATTTGTTTGAATAGTCTACTATGCATTTTGTGCTTTTTATGTCAGTATATAATGCAGAAGAAAACGCCAGGTAGGGAATACTTACCTGTCACGGATGCAATCACGATCAATAACGTGAATGCTTCAGGTTGAGGCTTGGGCATTACACATCGTCCTCGTTGACGCCTGCGAAAGGTCCGCATCGAGCTTTGTCGAGTGGAGAATTTATTACGCAGTCATTTGCATTCGCGCATTGGCTATTTCCCTAATTTAATATGTTAAATTTCTACACAGAAGATCAACAAACTCAATCATCTAAGCGCGACTGCTCTTCGTCCTTTTCTATTCTGTCACTTTTTAGTAATTCGATCAAAAAGACAGACTCAAGAAAAAAAATTCCTTTTTCGATTTTTTTTCTTCGAAAATACATACTGAATATTCAATACAATTCAGTTCTATAGAATAACACATTCACAGTAAGAGAATGGCGTGTGGGTGGCTGTGCGGTGTGAGCGTGCATGTTAATGTCCACTTCACTTCTGCCCACATCCACCCACGACCACATTCACACCCACACGCATGACCACACACAACATCACACTCACCCACGACCACACTCGCACCCACACCCACACCCACACACACATTGCATCTATGAAAATATCTTTTAGTTACGTTCATAGACAATAAAAGAATCGTTAAATTGATAGTGACTATATCGAAAAAGAATGTGTAGAACAAAAACAAACCATCGGGCGTCAGTGCATGTAGATCGAATCATAGCTCTACCATTTCCAAAGAGGATTCTGCGTTCACACGCGATCCACAACAATGAAACTTCTGATTCTTTGTAGTGAAACGTTGAACTAAAGGAAATATTGCTAGTTTGAATAAGAGAAATGCCAAAGCGAAAATTTCAAGACACATCGTAGAGAAAAGTATATTTTTAAAAATTACTTCACCAGTTCTTGCCATGGATTCTTGAGTATTCATGATGAAGAATGGCGTTTCCTTGAAATCTAATCGAAGAATTTGATTCGGAGCTAAGTAACGAATATAGGAACCAACTTGGTTATATGTCATCTGATCACTGGTATGTTCATGAATCACTCTAGGTACCCAAATTCCACTATAAGTAGCTTGCTCACCTTCCGTAAGACTTTCGGTTCGATTGATCACTTTCGTCATTGCAACATTGACTCGTGTAGTTTGAGCAAGAGTTTGATTAGTATTGAAAATAGTTTGACAAAAAGTCAATTGTTGAATAGTAGAGAAAGCATCAAAGCCAAAGGTTTCAGGACTTGCGAGACAGAGACGAGCACCACCGATATATGAGTCACCTGAACATTAGAAATAATGAATAAGATTATATATTTTGAAGTGCAATCGAAAATGTGCTGCAGCACGTCCGCTCTGCATTCTTCTGTCGTGCATTATGTGATACAAAAATAGACAGATGAGAATTGGTGAGATGTTTTAACATCATCTCCCGTGAGAGCGATGTTGCAAGCGATGTCGTAAACGTCCGATCCAGACTAGACTTTTTTATGTTTTTTGCTCATTTTCTGGGGAAAAAAACACAGAAATGTTTGATTTAGCATATTAAATTATATTTTTATCATTTTTCATAACCATTTCTACAAATGACTCGAAATATACCTAATTAGACTTTATCAAGTTCTTACGATCGAAACAAAATGGAGTCACTGTTTTGTCTTTGTAATCTTTACATATTTACTCTTATTTTCCATTATCTATATGATGTCCTTGTATCAAGGCTATTTTATAGAGCTGTGCTTCTATTTCCATTCTATTCTCAGCTTGTGAGTAGAGTATAGTGCTTTGAATCCATTTTATGTTAGCCTAAATGACGTTACACTGGAAAAGCGGATCACATTTGAAGATTTAAATAATAGTCGAGTAAAGCAAAGTGTTCGGCTTTTATTACCAAGAAGTCTTGTATGAAGCGAACAGAAACTGATATACTCTAGACAAATTTTCATTCTAGACAATGTATAGTTGGGAATTTACAAAGAATGACTTTAATAGGATTTGCAGCTAAGATGGACTGTAGAGTTGCTGTTGTTGCCTTTTGAGAACCTTCATTATTTCGTTCCCAGATCATCCACATAACGAAAGTAACTATTTAAGAAAAACTTCAAGAAATTTTGGGACACCAAAATTTCTTTTGACAAACTGAAAGAATATCAACAGTCAGATTTTCCAATTGTTTAGCCATATCCTTCAATGTCTATTAGCATCTTGTTATAGAAAATCTCTTTAGCGATGAATTAGGAATCTCAAATAATGCGTAGTTTTTTTAGAGTTAACTATAATTCATGCCGGTCTGACTCGGTCTAAAAGACATTGTAATGGTTATAACACTGGCATGGGCACTACGAGATAAAAAGAACATAAATTAGGGATCACTAATATAAATCGTTTTATCAGTGCAAATTATTGTGATATTCACAAACCGCAGAGACATGTCTGACATCAAACTTTTAAATATACTCCTGAGATTTTCGAATGCAATATGTGTGTTTTTTAAGATGTATTACATGTTGTATGCTGTGATAAAATATTCTCTACTATTTGATCTTACAAAATATACTGAAGGAATTTGTTCTTTTAAAAAAGAAAGATGGAACGTTTTCAAGAATAAATTTCTGATAAACTACAATAATTATTTTCGTGGTCTCTGTCAACATGAAGAATCACTAGGCATTTCGCAATATTAGTACCATGTGGTTTTAAATGATATTGATATTGGTAGGATTTGAAGAAAGGAAATGGGAACTTGGAATCAGGCAGCAGAATTTGAGCAATTTGAGTTGCAATACTGGAATCCTATTAACTCATTCCGTGACCCCGAATCACAAATATAAATAGAATTTTCAGTAGAGCCCATATGATGCGCACCTGCAAATTTTGTGCTGACTGAGTTCAGCTTCAGGATACATTCACTCGATGGATTCTGATTTTCAGTCAAGAACCAATGATTTCAAAACTAGGCTATTCAACAAGATAGACTGATTACCTGTCAAACTGAATATTATGCTCATCTCATGACTTGATAATTGACAAGAAACAGTGAGTGTAGCATTGTCTTCTTGAACGAAACAGCGGTTTGATTGTATGTCAACCGTATAAGCCTCAACATATTCCTTAAAAAAGTTAAAAATAAAAGCCATACATATAATTTAATGTTTTACAGGATCTTAGTACTTGTATAAGGATGCTTTTACAGGAGAATCCAGTTTGAATAAAATCTAGGGTCAATGTCAGATTTTGTTCATCCAATATCCTGAACATGAGTGTATCCTGTCGTGCATTATGCGAACCCAGCAATTCCAATGCAGAAGTGAACTTTGCGTTTCGCAACGACGTATCGCATACGAAATTAGCATTGCTTATGCGAAAGCTCCCTACTGTGTGTGGGTGGGGTGTGGGTGATTGCGGGTGTGGTTGTGGTTCTTTTCTTCATTAACACCCACACCCAAGAACGTTGTTATGCATATGATTGTGAACGCGGAGTAGGAACATTCATATCCGCAGTAGCCGAAAAATTGACGATGAAAATGAACCGTATATATGAGCGTCTTATTTTAAAGTGAGACTTAGTGATAATAAAAAATATATACTGAGATAATCGGCTTTCTGGAGTTACCCAAACAGAACACAAGGAGAGTATCTATCTTTTTTAATTCTTTCTTTAAATAGAATGTTTCTAGAAACATGTTAAATCTGTATTAAGTATTTATTTATGACTCCAGTGAGAATCTGAAGACTACGTTCTCGTTTAGATTCAGCTATGTGCAGAGTGGTTCATTGTGACCATAAATAAATGACCCTACTAGACTCGTATAAAGAGAATGAACGTTTCTTAAGTCAATTAAAGATCGCAACGTTAATTCGCTTCCTTGCAACAATAGAAACTTTTGAGCTTTGTGTTAATCACTGTGACATTCTGCAACACAGATGTTTTGAAATGTTTAATTCAGAAAGCTATTTGACTTCTAGCCTTATTCTTGGTTTTAATTTATCACTTTCAACTTTACTTTTGAAAATTTGAATGTTAAAGTACAGGATGCAATAAACGCCAAAACTAAAAATTGCCGTTTATAAACAATCTGCATATGCTGAGTAGGCATACGTGTGAACCACGGGTTTTCGAAGTATGACTAGATGAGGGTTGAGATATGCATATGTGTAAGGATGGTAACAAGTGTCTTCCTTATACCAAAATCCAACAGATATTCACGTCCACGCTTTCATTCTACACACATCGATTCACATCCACCTCGGTCAATATTCACTGACACCTGTATAGTTTATGCAGTCAGCGAAAGAATAATTATTCAGTTGTTAACATAATGAGACGCTAAATAGTCTCAGTTTTAAGAGAAAGTGCCTGAGAACCCACTACGGTGTTATACACTTATCCAAAGAAATATTCTGTGAATCTATGTATGATATCAGTAGATACCATTAATATTCTGAAATAGATTGTGGTCAACGGAAATTAATATCAGGTTATGGCTATTTCACTGAGTATTGGTGCCATGGCGAGTGTTAGTTAATCAGCGATCACTGATAAATGTAGTTGGTGGATGTCAGTGATACATCAACCCTGAAAACAGTCCGTCTTCTTCATTTCATCTTGTACTAGAGGAAATTTTCGCAAATGCAATAGACGAACAGCAACACAAAGTAACAACTTGAAAAATAAGATTGTGAGTGTTATACGTCGATGGATGATGGAAAATTTGACAACAACATTCACCCTGAAATTCACACAAAGAGATTTTCTTAAATATATTAAGGTGTTAATATATAAACAAGTGTGCATTTGTCGTATATACTATATTAAATCTTTTCATTATCAAGTATTCAATCGTTTTGATATTCTAATATCATTAAACTAAATTCTTTTAAGTACAAAAGGTTCGAAATATATAAAGATGAGTGTATAAAATTGTAATAACTGCATATCAAGTGCATATCAGAATGACAATCGAATTTTCTTTCGAAGTTTTTTTTTATATACATAAACATAACATACTACAGATTTCAAAATAAAAAACAGTCATTCATTTTTTCTATTTCATTTTGCTTCTCAATATTCTTTCAAGGATAAATATGTTTGTTATTATTCTGTGTGCGAACCACTTAAGCATATCGTTTCATGCACATGTTTCATTGTGTGCAACTTTGTGTACTTATGTTGTGTAGAGTCGTTCGTTATCAAGTATGCACTAACAAAAAAATTAAAAAAAGAAAGAAAATTATGCAAAATAAGGCACGGTAAGAAATCAATAGTTTCATTGTTGCAAAGGTGAAAATAAGCAAACACTGTTACATACATAACAACAACAAGTTTAATCAACGGGTACTCGACACGAAACATTTTTCATCTATTGGGTTTTGTTTATTTCGTTGTGGTAAGTAACTCTTTAGGATAATGCCAAAAAATACAAAACAAATCTATTAAGTAACACACACATATTTTCAATATGATCTGCATATTAAACACGATTGAGACCGATATGAAATCGATCACAATAACTGACTTTTCTTTTGAACAATCGATTGATAAATCTCTTTTAGTTAGTTAGTTTCCTTAAGTCATTCATCAGTCTTTAATCTCACTTTTATTTATTATTTTAATTAGCCGTAATTTATTGACGATGTCTATCGACACCATAGTACCCTCCCATATCCCCAGTACTTTTCTGTAAGCTTCATTTCCTGACTTACTCAATTTTACTTTTTAACTTTAAATAGATTGATCAAACAATGTTGTGGTTCACTCTCGTTTCTCTTGTCATTATTGGAGGGATGATGAACAGCGTCTCTTATGTCGAGAGTGCAGCAGTTCGTATCACCACAGTGAAGTCAGGATCTACTACTGTTGCTTCAAAATCAACTTCCTCCTTAAAAACAACAACCACCACTTTGTCATCATCCACTAGCTCTGGTACAAATACGATTTCAACTAAACTGACTTCATCCGTTAAAACAGTCGCATCAACAACAACAACATTCAGTACGACTTCCTCTGCTACATCAAGCTCAATAGTGGTTGGCTGTTATGCTGATTTCTATCCCAGTTCGAGAGCAATGTCTGATGCTTCAACTACTTCAACTTCCAACACTCCTTCCACGTGTGCAGCATTCTGTACTTCTCTAGGCATTCCATACTCTGGAACTGAATATGCCAATGAATGTTATTGCTCATCAACAGCACCTACAACCTTATCAACTGCCTGTACGATGGCTTGTGCTGGTGATTCAACACAAATTTGCGGAGGAGCAAACGCTTTATCTGTTGTCTATACTACTATTCCAACTTTACCAGCTACAAACAGTACAAAACGTGGTCTCTGTTGGCCATGGAATAATCCAGCATCGTCATTTGCATTCTTTTCACCCATTGCTATACCATGGCTCTATAACTGGGAATTGTGGGATCCACGAGCAGCGGGCACTCATTCAACAGCTGAATACGTACCAATGTGTAGAACACAGGCAGAAGCATCTCAAGTTCCAGCATATTTCTCTAGTTGTTATGCCAAATATCTTCTAGGATTCAATGAACCAGATTTACCGGCAGCTAATGGTGAAAACTATCTTTCGCCGAACAATGCATCCGTTCTTTGGAAACAGTACATTCAACCTGTGAAAACATCGTGTGGAACGGCACTGGGAGCACCAGCTGTAACGAATGGAGTCGGTTCTGGATGGGGAACTGATTGGCTTCGTCAGTTTTTTGGTAACTGTACATCTCCTTCTTGTTCATTTGATTTTATCCCATTTCATTGGTATGGTACTTCATTATCGGATTTTGAAACATACGTTACTAACTTTCATTCACTTTTTCCAACTTATCCTTTGTGGATTACTGAATGGCAATTTACCGGCATTTCAAGTACAGCAACAACCTATCTAGGAAAGCAAGCTTTGCAATGGCTTGATGCACAAAATTATGTAGTAAGATATGCAATGTTTGGACCGATGAATTCAGCTAATATGGCTGGTATTACAAATGGTGCAATGATTACAGACGATCTTAGTGGACTTACGAATGTTGGAAAGATCTATGCTGGACTCGTGTAAGAATGAGACAGTAGTAATACTCTTTTTGTTTGCAATCGTTTGCGACTGTGATTCATATTCATATTGATGAAGACGATGCATTCAATAAATTCATAAAACTAAAGCGAGCACTTAATATAGGAAAGATTATCTCACCATAAAAATTGTCTGTTCTTACAAAAAATGACTTTCCTATGATTCGATTTTAAGACTGAAAGAATGTAACCATAGACTGATTTAATTCATCACAAAGATATTTATTTTTAATTCAATTTTCTATGTACATTTAGTGACTTGAGTCATAGTTATTTCTGCAAATAGTAATATTCTATGTACGATTGATGTTTTATAAAAGTATATGAAGTATTCAGGTCTGCCTCATTGAAGTCAAAATATTTTTGCATTTAAATTGGAATATAATTTTCAGTCTTAACGGTTTCATGTGAATATATGTCAACTATATCGAATGTCAACAAATCATGAACATAATCGATAGGAATCAAATCGATGTAGATTTTCTATAATATGAATATTTTCGACATTCAGCCAGTATTTGGATAGACCCTTTCATCTTTTATATCAAATCTTGTTCAACATAGGGAACATTTTTGAACAGAATAGTTATTATTATTTGTTGATGAATGACAAAAAATGATTAGTGACTATCCTATTTTCTACAAATAAAACTGATATCTCACAAAAAGTCTTGTATTAAGTGTTCTGCTATATAAGATTTAGTGAATGATTTGATTTGGAAGTTATTCTTTATAAATCATCTTCATTTAAAGAAAACAATACTTGAAATGACAAATGATAAAAAGCAAAAAAAAGGGAGTCCATTCATATGAAATAAAAGCAGTAGTGTTACACAAATTCTTCTGTATCTCAAACAGGGTGTGGGTGTGGGTGTGCGTGGGTGCCAGCGTTGACGTGTGGGTGGATCTTTTCTTCTTCCACACCCACACCCTTAGATGGAACATTTGAAAATAGATCGTTAACCTTCATAGTGAGAATTGGACCCCAATTTTGGCCTTTCGAGTCTTGTTCAAAAACGTTTTGCTACCAAAGTTCATTTCCACAAACTTTTGAAAAGGTCATTCGACGCAGTTTAATGTGCTCTTTCAGGTGGTACTATACTCAATTTATTCTAGGACGCTGATTGAGGTGGATGTGGGGTGTGGGTGTGGGTGTGAAAGAAGAAAAGACCCACCCACACCCACACACCCTTATCGAACTCTCTCAAATCATGTAAAAATATCTAGAATACGATATATCGCTTAAGATGTTACAAACATATTTTTTTTCCAAAAAATGAATCGTAAACATTTTCACTCAAGATTAGTAAAACGATCATAGGATTGTAATAGATTTATGTATTTCGAAAAACGTTTTTTCAGATGATAGCTCTAATCTTCCTCTACAAAATGGCATAATTTGGTCAATAACTTCATGTAAATTTGTCATATATATATCATCGATTTACTGAGAGGGGTCGAAACTTTGGGAGCACCCTTTAGTATCGCATAGCTGTTAATTTTATTGCTACTATACCACCTAAAATGACAACGCTATTACTTTGAATTCATTAATCTTCTTATTAGATTCACTACGGACTGCTAATAGTCAACATGAGAATACAAAACACAGGGTGTGTGATGAGTGTGAGTGTCGTTGTAGATATTAATTTCATCCACATCCACACTCTTCTCTGTTGAACGACCATAGTTACGAAAACAAAATCATCATTAATTTTAGTCAACTGTTTACGTTGTCAATCGGAGAAAAACTCATTTTTTTCCTAAATAAACAGTCAGTTTTTGTCGTTTACAACACATTGTATTTAATGACAGAAAGCAATTAACTAAAGCAAGTTTTTTGAGTAATAGAATTGCTTCAATTCACTTATAAATAGTATTTAATCGTGGACTTGTCCCGATTAATCGCAGATTCATGAGATATTCAAAATTCACAATCAAAACAAAATCTACATTATATCTTATTGTCATTGTTTTATTTTCTGCTTTAGTCTAACTGATATTAATTGATTGAAAAAATAGACGAGATCATATATAAGATAATTTATATGTATCAGTTATAATAGAGTCATCTCTCTTGCTTACATGAAATCGATTTTAAAACTTTTTATCAATCTCCAAAGTTTCTTTTTTTGTAAAAGATAATAAAGATCTAACCGAAATTTTCATTTATCTTTCGATTCCTTTTAAGGCATCCCCCCCCCCTCCAAAAATTAGATTTTTTGAAAAAATTTCAAAATTGAGTTTTTGTTGGAGGATGATGCACTGAACTCTCCTCTTTCAGTGCATGTCTTTGGTTTTAGGATATGAGTGGCTTTTGGCCGTTCTCAATCATTTTTTTGTAGCTAGCCAGTACTTTTTTAGGCTTTCAGGAGACCGTTCCCGATTTTTAGAATTTTTATAGAAAACCAAAATCACTATCGTATTCAGCGTGCCAAGTTACCATAGTATCCAAATTTTCAGAATAAAATTTGATACCTAGAATGAGTTACAAAAGTTTTTGCCGAATAGGGACACCTATTTTGATGTTTGTCTCAGCGATTGAAAATGTTCTCTCTTCTTTACCTGATGACCGAAAATTCTAAAATTTTGATTATACATGTTTGTCTCCATGTTTGATGTAATGGCAATGCCAGACTTCTAGAAATCCTTTAGAATTCTTTGTTTCCCAAAAATGGCTTAAAAATAATTTTCACTTTGTTTATCAATTTTCTCAAAACGGATTTTTGTGCTAAATATCGACAGCAGAACAAATTTTTTTTTCAATATACTTCATCCTAGAGAGCTGCGGTTTTTTTTAGTCGATACATACATGTGTACTGCTTCGGATGAGGGAAAGAGATTTTTTATTTAATCGTCAATCTGGGAGAAATCCAGGGTTTTTCAAAAGCGTTGGGGTAAGATTTTCAGAATTTTTGGGTTTTGGACGTCCCTAAATTGGACAAAGGAAAATTTAAAAAATCTCTTTCCCTCAGTCCAAGCGGTAAACAGTTCTTCTTCAAATAAAACAATCCCAGATTCAGTCCATTGAAGTATAGTGAAAAAAAGTTTGTACTGCCAGAGGGCCCATTTTTGGCCTTGATCTCTGGAAAACTCCTGAACGCTGAGGTTTATAGAAGTAAAAAAAAATTTCGTAACTTTACTCTGATGTGCCCAACATTTGTGGAAAGTTTCAGGCAAGTCCGATGCACCATGTTGAAAATCGATTTTGGAGGGGGGGATGCCTTAATATATATATTCTCAATAAACATGGTAACCTATTCATATGCAGTCACGAACAGAAAAGAACACAAAAGACGAAACAAACAAGAGCGACAGCTATTCTCACAACATTACAACAATAAATCATATAGAATAGTTTCATATTAATGTAAACTTGATTAAACTGAATTAAGGCCACCCCCCCTCCAAAAAAGTCACTTTTCGTCAAAAAAATGAAAATTGAGATAAANTTAGCTCGTACTTTGAAGGATTTTTAGCGGTAATTCATTTCAAATGTATAAAATATTGAAACCAGTCAAAAATATCAGGTCATTCATGCTATTGAAGATTTGGTATAGTTGGTTTAAGCATACGATGTGAGTCACATTTTGTAAATGTGATTTTTGCAAATTTCAAGTGATTTGAACCCCTTCACATATTTTCAATCTAGATCTAATCAATGGTCTATTTTTTACTTCACTCAAATCAGTTTTTAGAAGTGATTGTAAACAACGAAGTGCCTCCAAAAAATAACTATACTTCTGCTACTTACTTGTTTGACATCATAGCTTTTTGTAGCAGAAAGGACATTTCAGAATAAGGTATTTCTTCACCTATCTTTGCACTAAAGACATGCTTTATTCCTTCATGTTTACATAACATTTGATTTCACTAAATTCTTCAGTTCTTTTATTTGCTGAAACTTCTCTAACTCCTTAGGATCTTTTAGTTTTATACACGTATATGTGTGTAAGAGACTTCTCGCTATCCTCATGCTACACCAATATTGGTATTCTAATACCAAATTCTTGTTGCATCCTGATATTGCATCTTCAGATCGTTTTTAGAAAATAATGACATTAGTTAAATGTGCATGTGCTTGAGAAGAACATCCGAGATTGCTCACATCTTGACACTCGCACCCTTTCAGAAAGTCGTACTAAAAATTATTTGTAATTAATATTTTTTCTCATCTGTTAAATAAATATTACTTAGAATAAACTTACCTTTTAAGACTAGAAATTAATATTAATTCAAATTGATTTTCTTTTGTATATCAAAGCATATTTGAATGACAGAGAAACAAAATAAATCACATCGAAACAAATATTATTTTTTAATATTACTTATAACAAACTTATTAAGTATTGATCATACTTTACTTTCAACTGTACATATAAAATGAAGTATTATTTTAAATAATTTAAAAAAGAAAATACCAGGAACGAGACATTTTTATGTTATGTTCGATGCTAGAAAAACCTAAAAAATGATAATACTAAGCAGAAATCGAAACAACTGAACCTTAAAAATAACTAATATGTTATATTGAATACTAGATAAAATCATTAAGTGTTTTAATATTTCGAATTTATCTATTGTCCGCTGATCTTCACATATACTAACCATTTCAATTTTAACATTATTTTCTGTATTAACTTAGATGTGAGTTTGACTTTCTTCGTTTCAACATCTACACGTATGCTTAAATCCACCTCAATCCACTATTTTGTTTTGCACATAACCGCTTTTCATCGTTTTCGCTCCTAAGTTAATGAAATGGAACCCTTCTTTTTCAGTATATGCCTATCATCCTCCATATATTCAAGTAAAGATGTTAGAATGTATCGAGTAGTATTGAAAGAGAATAGGTCGCAGAATTTAATAGTCGTCAGTCTGGAGCAATATACACGTAAGAAACTTTATTTTTTCTTCTTCTTTATGTGTTAGTGACTTTTGTGTAGGTTTTTTTGTTTTTCATTTCTTTCTTATTCTGTCAATATAAACGTTGCCACTTATTATTGTGGTGTATATGAAGACATCATTCTTTTGTAAGTGAAAAAACATAAAAGGTAAGAAACTACTTCTGAAATTTGTTCTAATTGCTTTTTAGACTCGAAAACAATTGAAAATTCATTCATGCTGTTATCATATTCCTAAGAATGAAAAACATTGAATGTGATGTTAAGAAAACAATTGAAAAATGCAAAAGAAACATAAAACATTTTCTTGATTGAAAATGAATACCAATGTACAAAACTACAAGTTAAGGTCTTCACTAGCATGACTTTTATTTTCTTATTGTTATATGCTATATTTCTGTCTCCTGTTTTTTTTTGTATTTCTTTCAGCAAGGTTATCTGCAAAAAAACCGTAGTGAACACCATTGCAGAGAACAATAGAAAGGCAAGCAAATCGTATTTAATACAAGAGAAGAAATCGTTTCATAGATGGATTTAGCCGAACGATTTTTTGACGTTGATCAAGAGTTTCTACAAAAAATACCACCTATGATAGATTATCGTAGTCAACCATTGGTAACACTCGAAGAGACCATCAAAAAGCTTCAAACATCCAAACAAAACATTGATCATATGGTGAAAGCGGCAAAATGGAAGGTGTTCATTTCAAGATATAATCTTACTGCTGATGAAGCAGCTGCCATCTATCTTTATACGATAAGACATTCGGAAACTGATCGAGATATTTCTAGTCAATTGAGTACAGCACTTCGACTTAGATTTCGACAACTGCTTACCCCTTGGTTTCCTTATCTTCAGCTCTTGATCACAGCATTGAATAAATTACCATCAATGAAAGGTACGATTTGGCGCTATTCTCGAGGTCATATTGCTGATAATTATCGAAAAGACTGTGTCTGGTTAGGGTTTAGTTCATGTACAGGAACCAAGCCATTATTTGAGCAACCTCTCAACAAATACGATGTGTATACTATATTCAAAATTGAATGCATTAATGGTAAAGTGATTCGCGAATTTTCTGACTGCCCTTGGGAAAATGAAGTTCTTCTATTGCCTGATACAAGTTTACGAGTGATAAAGATAGTAAATTTAAAAAATAGACTTAAAATAGTTTATTTACAAGAAGAAGGATCTCCACATTTACAATCGGTTCCACCATCAGGTTTTTCATTGTCAATGGATAAAATAAATGCAACAAACCATGGCTTCACTTCGACTAAATTTCAGCCCAACGGTGAAATGATATCAGTACAATCATCGAGTAAGATTTTTTTTTTAGTTTGAGTAATGTTTTCTTGACAACACATCTGACTGCATAAAACGAGATAAAAATTGCAAGTTGTTCAAAGAAAGATAACAAATGATGCAGATGACAGAGTGTCACCAGTCGAATAAAAGTCATTCTTTCCCAATGTTTTTTTGCTTATCTGCTATGAAAAGATATCATCAAATAAGAGTCGACTTTCAACCATTCAACTTGTTAAATGAATCATTTTTGAATATAACGGTTCATCAGTTTTTGGAGCATACTAAAACCATTGTAAAGCTCAACTATGTAATTGAACTCTCCCTGTTCAAATTCTGAACACGAATTAAAATCGAAGACTCAGAAGTTAAGATAAATAAAATTTATCTTAAAATTGGATTCATATTTATTCATCCTTTATGCACAAAATATACAATAATGAAAGAACCCTCATTCATGAGAAGGATTCTATATTGTTGCGAAGACGTAGAAAACTATTTGATTAGAACTAATTTTAGAGTAGCATTCATAAACAAGATCAAGAATAGAAATTCGACATTATCAGTCCATTCTCACCAATAAGTGATGATGGAATCATAACTATGCTTCTCAATTTCTTTTTATTGAATACAAAATTTTCAAAATATAAATAATTTTCTTTGATCATGTCCATGCAGTGAACTTGTCATTTCTTGTCGCTTTGAGGTTATATGCTCCTGCTCTATTAATCATCTTTTTGAGACATCCTGTGTGCCATAGAATTCTTAAAAAATTATAGAGAACAAAGCGAACCGCGTATTGTATTAAATTTTTACTTTTTGTCTGGTGCATGCTACCAAAGAAACCATATATCAGTGCTTCATTACAAGAGGATCATAGACCGTAAAAGAGTAATATTTTTCAGCGTATAAATCCCAAAATCATATTCGTTTTTGTACTCAATGAATGTGCAAATTTTCTTCTCGAAGAACGGTTTAACTTAATGCATTTTTTGAAGTGTTGCTTATAGATTGGCAGACTTAAAAGCATAAAACAATGATAGAAAATTAAAATCAAGCACGAAATAGAGGAATTTAGTTCGTCAGTGAACAAAAACCTATCCATATGTATTTATTAGATAATTTTAGTTTATTATTGTGTGAGAGCAAGAATATGTCAATGTTTTTTGTTGATCTCTTTTGATTTCAATTTAGACACTCCTAAATTGCCATTTATCAAACCTGTCTCCCAATCTCAAGCACCTCGGTTGGATGTATCTCCTATGGGCAAGGAGAAATCCAATAATAATCGCAAAGACAAAAGGCCTACAAGTTCAGGGTTTGAATTTGCTGAAAAAAAGGATGAATACTCACCTCTAGATAAGTCTTGGTTGAATTGCAAGTTTCATGATGATAACAAGCAATCAATAATGACTCCTGAAGATTTGGAGATGAAGCTACAAGATCCGCCTAAAAGTGTCAATCATGCTATTTTAAACCGTGTGAAGGGATCGATGTTTGGTATGGCCTTAGGTGATGCGCTTGGAGCTCACTTCAAATTTCGGTCGCATCAATATCTGTTGGATCTTCAGGAAGAAGAAACTTGGCATCTCAAAAATGGACAAGTAAAGTTTTTTTTTCTATTTGAATTATATCCTCGATTCCTTCTTTCGTAAACCTCAATGATTTTCAAAATAAGTTTCGGAAATACTTTGAAATAAGAAGTGGCAACCATCCTCATTTTCAGCTCTCGCAATTCTAATTTGAACTGATTTTTCAACGAGGTAGAGCATAATATGCAATAATTTCCATGTGCCTATTTAGCAATGTACACCAAGTCCTTATCTCGTAATGTGCGTTTGATGTTTTCAAGATGCGAACCATGACTCAGAGAAACTTTCCCTCATTTCAAAGAAACAGTACAGGCGCGGTAGTATCAGGACGATCAACTAGCATACATTTGGATGTATTATTTTCTCTTCGGTCAGCTATCACGGATATCGTGAAGTTTTCTGAACATTTAAGCATTTATATGTTATTTCATCAACTGGGAATGATAGTGAGGTGAAGACGTCTTCATTTTGAGATTGAAACAGGATCCTTTCTCCTTAAAATCTCTTATCATTTGGAAAAGAATATTAGTTTAAGCCGTCTCTATGTACCATAAGTTCTTGCCATCAAGCGTCTAATATTATCGTACTTGTTTTCATTGAATTTTTGAGAAAAGTCTTGCGAAGTGTTGACAAAATGAAAGAAACATTTGAAAAAAAAAAGAATACTATATTCGTCTTTGTTATTCCTTCGAAATATGTGCCTTAAAAATATACAAGAGATTGATAATTGTGCTATTTACGAGAACTTTTGTTTGTTTAGTTCACAGATGGTACCTCCATGGGTCTTTGTCTGGCTAATTCCCTAGTGGTTCGACGTGATTTCATCCCTTATGACCAGCTTGTTCGATATAAGTGGTGGTTTCGACATGGTTACATGTCTTCAACTGGACACTGCTTCGATAATAGTAGTGCGATTAATCAGTCGTTAAAGGAATTTGAACGTCGTCAACAATTATTTGCTAGCAAACATAAAATTCCTTCTGATGAATTAGATTCTCTGTCTGATCCACATCTACTTAAAGAATTTGACGTATATTGTAGTGAAAGTGGCCTAGCTGGTAATGGAGCACTTATGCGCTTGGCTCCTGTTCCTCTTTTCTTTTATCGATATCCTACTGATGCCATCGAGTTTTCTGGAATTAGTAGTGCAATTACTCATGGTGATTCGAAAGTTTATGACTCTTGCCGCTATTATGGTGCTTTGATCGTGGCTGTTCTTCGGGGTGAAACAAAACAACAATTACTGGATGATAACTTTTATTTAAACCATAAATCGTGGTTCAATAACAAGCCACTTACTCCAGATGTGATGAAAGTTGCCCAAGGATCTTACAAGAAAGCCGGTGGATATCATGATGGCATTCGAGGCAAAGGATACATTGTTGATGCTCTCGAAGCTGCATTAAGGGCTTTTTATTACGATGAAGATTCCTTTGAAAAAGGCGTTCTCGACGCAGTCAATCTTGGAGGTGATACTGATACAACGGCTGCTATTTATGGCCCATTGGCTGGCGCCTACTATGGTTTTGACAATCTACCCAAAAAATGGATATCACAGGTTGATGCACAGAATTTTATGACATGTTTAAGCAAATGGATCATTTATGAAGGAGAGTTATGGCAGCCAAAGTTTTCTATATCGAGTAGATCAGAACCGAATCCACAATCTCAGTTAATGGTTCCTTTAAAATTTACGAATGCATTGAATTCAACGTCAGCCATGAGGCCAGAGCATATACAAGTATCATCTCTGACACTTAATGAACTATCTTCTAGCCAGTCGATAGTCAAGGAACCAGCGCGTCCGTCACATACAACCACATATGGCATTTATGGAACTTCTCTAGGACCACAATCAACTACGAGTTTGAAGCCGAGAGCAACACCAGGTCTGTATGACTATGTTGGTGGCACACGATCTACCACTAGTGGCCTCTTGAATTCTGCGTATACTGTTGGAAAGCCATCTAGCTATGGTGGTATGTTAAGATATCGTCCGAGTGACCTGATAGGGTTTCGTTATGGTGGCAACATGTTACCTAGTGATAATTTTGTTGCAGAAGTAAACGATGGCTATCACAGTTCATCTTGGGACACAGGACTTGCAACTCACAGAACACATCCATTTTTGAATGATTGGTCACAGAGCTGGCTTCCACCAATTTCATCTCCGCCAACGTCGTATTACTCTCCTATGACACGAAGTTTTCACAGATTTTAATAGCTTTGTAAGAAATGATTATTCTTATTCTTTTTCTCGTGTCACTTAATCGGGCAATCAATAATGAGAACAAAATTTTTAAATATATACATTTCCAAAAATCGTTTTCTTTTTCATATCGCTAAAGATTCCTTTATGTAATACATCTTTAATGATGAATAACTAATTGTATCTAATTATAAGATGTGATGTGTGGATGTATGTATTTCATTAACCCACACCCGGCACCGTTTATTTCTACTTGTTAATGAAGATTTCGTTGTTTGCCATCTCAAACTTTTCGCTTTGATTGAAAGCAAACAAGCTGTTACCATTGATAAAACTTTTGCAAAATCAATGAGAGATTCATATCTATGTATACTCCCTCTAGATACAGAAACTCATCAGAAGAAAATGGACGAGAATATAAAAAATACAGCCACTTTGCATTCGAGAGTCGTCTGCATCTATTTACATTTTATTTATGTCTGTTAAATAAAACCGAGTGTTTGATTATAATGAATGTTATTCGAACGTGCACTCTGCGATCAGTATGTTACACAGAAATAAGAAGTGGTATTTATGACTTTATGGAAGTTTGAATATGTAGCAGGATCTTTTATCATGACTATTAAATTCCATCGTGGAATGAATATGCAACTGAGTAGGAAAATCTTAGTTTTAACCCGCTCAGATACTGTATCAGGATCAAAACATTCAAAAAATGTTAGTGATTTTTCAAATAATTCTGCTTTCTTTAGTCGCTGGTCTTATGAACTTTTCAAATGATAATTCATTCTTATATAGTGTCGAACATAAGTTTGAAATAATTGAGTAGTGTTGTTAATCTATTTCTTTTTTTTTCGTCAATTATTATAACTAGCACTGTTGTGATTATTTTTTATTCTATGGATACCGAACGAAAGATATAGATTTAAATTTTTGACAATTTCAGCTGCTTGCTTTACAAAAAGATGTTGCAGCAGGAACTGAAAGCTTGATGTTTCGATTTCGAAAAGCTTTTATTTTGTTATTGATTTGTTCAATTCGATAATCAAACAGCTAAAAGAAGATTTAAAAAGCTCGTTTTTGTTGTTATTTATTTTTTCGACGAATTCAATTCAAAAGTGACACCATGTGTGCAAATGAATCTGTAGAAACAAAAAATAGTACCAATAACCTTTATCTTGAGTCATGTATAACATTGGAAAGCTTGTGCAACCGATGTAGTAGATTTCGAATTTTTTATCGAAAAAGAAAATCTCTTCATATAAAATTGTTAGAATCATTGGTTTCATTGTCATCGCTGAATTTCTCAATCAGATCAAATAGTTAGGTACTTAACAAATGATGAGTACAAATTTCTCAAAACGGAAATATTGCAACATTGTGATTATCATGCTATTACAGAAAAAAACAACAACTTTATAGAACAAACCATATTCGACTACATAATCACTTTGACATACGTTCATCAGACTGCTGTCGCAAGTTTTTCATTTTTGTCAGCATCGGAGAAATAAAGAAATGTAGAGTAGGTAGTGAGTTTAGCAGAAACAAGCTTTTATTAGAAATTAATTCATCAAGAGCAGCACTTTAGTCAGCGTTTCAGAACCGAAAAAGTAGTGTCTCCAACGTCCGATATGACGTATATGAATTACATAAGTACCAAATAATTCGAAATAAACAATACAATGTACCAGGAACTATCGGAACTAGGGTGTGAGTGTGGGTGTGTGGAGTGTGCTGCTACTATTCATTGATACATACATACATCCACATCCATATCCATACCCATACCCACTCACACCCCACCTCAAAACTATATCGGACTATATGAGTGATTCTGTTGTCAAATTGTCTTCTGCTCGGTAATTTTCTAGTCGTACGTTGGCCAAACAACTGTGTATTGTTGTAATCTCGGATATGACTCAATGCTATTATCGAATTTTGACCAGCAGAAATAGAAGAAATNATTTTTTCCGGGTGATTAGGGGTGGGAAGTTACCGTTACGTTCCCGGGTAACTGGTAACGGTTTCGTAACCATCTCCGTCCCCAACCCGAGCACTAGGGTCATCAAGTCCTATTTTTGAAAAAAATTTTTTTTTATTGCAAAAATAAATTTTTTCCAAAACACCCCAAAATTTTGTTGCAAAAATTTTGTTTTGGAAAAAATTTACTTTTTGTCAGAAAGCCTATTTCTGCATTTAAAAAATATTTTTCGAAAAAAAATTTTTTTTCAACAAAATTTTGGGGTGTTGTCGAAAAAAGTTATTTTTTGTCAAAAAGTCTATTTCTGCAAGAAAAAAAAATTTTGGAAAAAAAAATTTTTTTTCAAAAATAAGACTTGAGGACCCCACGGTTCGGGACTGATGATTACTCATGATTACTGGTGATTACTAGTGATTACTGGTGATTACTCGTGATTACTGGTGATTACTAGTGATTACTAGTGATTACTCGTGATTACAAATTGATTACTAGTATTAGTAATCAGTTTGTTCCCCCTTGATCAAAAGTGAATCACTCATGATTAAACGACTGATCCTTTTTTTTAAATTTTTAGTCAGATACACAGATTATGTAATGCAAAGCAACGAAATATATCTAATTTAACAGTAGCATTTAGGAAGATTAAGAAATGTTACGCCAAAATTTACCTGACTGTTGAGTAGTGGAGGTCGTTGCTATTGACCTTGATGTTGTTGTGCTGGTAGTAGTGATGATAGTGGTTTCTGACTTCTTCGGTGTAAAAATATAGAATTTTAAAATCAGAGTGAGAGTGACTACAAGAATTGTTAAAACGATGAAAGATATGCCAATGATGTTAACAGACGGGTGACGCCACCATTTGGTTGGGATATTATTGGCAGTAACATCCTCAACCTACAACTGACTGTAACGCATACTGTATTTCTCAAAAACCTTAAACTCGGTAAAAAAGATAACGAACTGTTGTTCGAATCTAATTCTATTTGTGTGTCACTCACAAAAGTAACAAAAGATAAGTAATATTATCTCCAGCAGGATAAGTATTATTATGCTCTGTTTTTCATATAATCAATTTTACAGGTGAGTGTGATAGCGCAAAACTATGCTTCGCTCATAAGTTACATCATAGATGTGGGTGTGGGTGTTCTCCGTTCTTCAACGAAACCCACATCGTACAAGTAATGTGTCAATATGTGTCTGATTTAATTTAAATATACTTGGTAATAGAGTATTCATATCAAAGCACGAAAAATCTACACCTACATTGAATATTCGACTTAAAATTTCCTTTCCTTTTGTTTTACAGTAACGTATTCTCATCGCCAAATAGCTGCAAAAAATTATTTACTCTTTTTATTATTATTTTGTCGAGATCATGAGATAATAGACCTGCAGCTGTATCAATATTTTTTACGATTGTTGTGACATACTTCAAAGTGTGTGCGTTTACACCACCTATCTGTAGTGCAACTGAGACTATAAATTTTAAAGAATCAAGATTACATCTATTTGTAGTTGACTTATGTACCATTTTGACACCAAAGCTAATAACATTAATTGTTTGTGCTGGCAGTAACGGTGTAGCATATCTACGTAACATTCTGAGACCTAGCAATTGTGTGCCATAGGGAATGGCATTACTCTTGTTCAAAGTGTTAATATTGGGGTTAGGTAAAATTCAAAACTTTATTAAATGAAATTCATTTTAAGCGTTCGATTTTGAATATATGTGTATCATCATTTCGCAAGCTATTGAAATTGAATGCTTTGATCATATGTGGGTTATGTATATTGCCATTTCAATCGTGTGTTTCAAACGATCAATATTATGAGCAACCGTAATTCTATTATTCAAATGTTTCTTTCGCAATTCTCTTCCGCAAAACTTTGAAATAATTTCTATTCTGTCCTTCTGTTTTAGGCTCCTCTGGATAGTGAAAGTGACTTCCAAGTTTTTTTCACTCGATTCCTTATTGATTTAATGTATTTCTTTTGAAGAACACCTATTCTTAGTTGCATATTCTCAAGCAACATGGAAAGAACGCGGATTTCAAAGCTTCGTGCTAGAGAAAATGCCAAGCTCATTGGCATTCAAGATTAGGAACAATATCGCGTAAGTTTTAAGTTCTGTAAAGGAAAAAGCGTATTGTTTTAGAGCCTATCTCTGTTATATCAAGACCAAGATTGTCGTACACGCTTTGAATAGAAGTCAACTTTCAGCGGAATGTAGTACTGTTTGAATAAAGATAACGCAAATCAATCATATTAATATGCATCATATATCAAATTGCCTTTTTTTACCTAATCTCGATAATGTGACTTGGCACCGTTTGATAGAGGCTCTCAGTAACGACGGAACTATGATTTTTTTAAAGTATCCATAGATGCTTCACTCGACGTATTTGTCATTCGAAAAAAACCAATGATATTTCCAATTGTCATCGGTGCCACTCTACTATTCTTGATTGTTAGCGTCATATTGCCCATGGGTATGAAGTTGACAAAAGATTGCACACTGTTATTTGTTTTATAGCATTAAATTCTTCTTTTTGTTCCACAGTGAAGCTGGTCTCTTGTCAGTCAACGAATAAGTCTATTTCATAATATCAGCTTGGATACTTTTTTGATCAATATCATCCCATCATTTCGGTACTGTGCGACCTCAACTGTTAGATGTACTATATTCGGCATGCTCGCTCGATAAATTGGCATCTGTTCATTCCATAGCTTTTCTCTTGTTTCACTGGTTTCCATTGTTTTATTCAAATCTTACTTCAATTTCTGGACTTTCATCAGCTTATCAGAGCTCATTGAGATTTCATCGAATTTTCTGAAAGTTGTATTGCAGGAAATTCCTAAAGTATTCAAGAGGCTGTCGTTATTTTTTCCTAAAAAGGTAAAATTTTTTTAGATCAAGTCAGAGGTGATACTTTTGAGCATTACTTATTAATGTTTTTCTTATGAAAAAAAAAAGTTTAGAATATTCCTCTATCAATGAGAAAAGTTAGCCTGCTTGATTGAAACAGAATGGAAATATTCTGTGTTATTAGAAGAAGAAAGCCAACGCGTACATGATAGAATATTTACATACTCCAAAAAATGGAAAACAACCTATAAATGTGTCAAAAACAGTGATACATTTGTTTTATACACAAATAAGGAAGCCAATGGTGCGCATAGAAATGAATGGGCAACACATTGAATCAGTAAATGAATTTAAATATTTAGGATTTATATGATCAAGGAAATTATTCTTGAAACTAACAGTTGATAGATGTATAAGCAACATTTATCAATCACCAGTCAAAGTTAAATGGTTAAAAGCAATACGATTCATCTTCAACAATGTACTTAATCAATGGGTGTGGGTGTGCATGTGTGGGTGAAGGTGCTTTTGCTTGAAGCAAAGATTCAGTTGCTCAAACACCCACACCCTTCAGATAAGAAATAAGTAATACTAACTTAATTTCATTAGCTATATTCTTTATAGAAAAGAAATAGAGTTCATCATTCTCCATTAACAAAGAATAACTGATAAACACAAACATACACGTGTACATTTCATTCTCTTATTCCACATCATTTGTTCTAGATTGATTTAAGCCATAACATTAAATTTCTTGTTAGCTAGATACAATCAAAAAGCTTTGGTTATATAAGAAAAAATTTTTTTACTAATCTTAGATTTTCATTTAGGATGCTAAGAAGTTCAATTGAAGATTTATTTAATGAATTTTTTTATGAAATATTCGAATATCTTGATAGTGATGAAATATATCAAGCATTTTTCAATCGAAATCATCGCTTCCAACAATTTCTTGGTTCTTCATCTCTTCTATTAAAAATAAAAATTTATTAATCAAAATCGAAACAGATCTTTCATCGCAACAAAGATCACATATTATCAGTTTGTCTATGGATGTCGACAAATAATAATAAAATTAATTTATCATTAATTATCGATTCATCATTTATTCGTCTGGAATCTATTGTTTTTAGTCCTTGTTACATTTCTTTCGAAATTAACTCATCTGTCTCGTCTTTTCTCATTAACAATCGATACATGGTTTGCTATAAAACATTTAGGTAATATTTATCAATTAATTTTCAATTTTTCGAAATTGAGATACATCAAATATACGTCAATGGAATCCGATGATTTCGACATAACGGTCTCACTGCCGATTGCTTCCAACGGACAAGTCAAAAACTATTGAATATCTTATTATTGATCATCCATATGCTTATGACGCAGTTTTTACTATAAAATCTTATGAATCACAACTTCATCGTTTGATATTTTTGAATCTAGGGAAAGTAATGTAAACATTGGAGCTATTAAGCCAATGAAATTATCAAATTGAACTCATCTTTCTATAAATAATTAACGAATGATATTTTGATGAATTTGAAATATTTATTAAAAATTATATTCTTCGAAATTAAAGGTTTTATCATTCAATACTATAGTTAAAGATATTGCTTATCTTGATATTAATCGATGAGAAAAATTTATTTTACAAAATTTGTCACAATTAGAAGAATTTTATAAATATAATGCACATTTTCAAGATAATTATGAAACTTCAATGTACTTTTGGAAGCAGGATGAATTTATTTCTCCATTTTGGATTGAACGCCGATGAATACTACAAGCTGAAATTGAATTTTGATATATGCAATCCGTCCATATAAGTATATCAAAAAAGTGTCTTTGTATTAAATAATTTCTTTTTTTCTTTTAGAAAAAGTTGGTATGAATTTAATACATAACATAAGATGATTAATTCTTCCCATTAATTAATGAAATCCATAGGACTTATTCTAGTCGATACATCTCCGAAAGGATTATGTAAATCATTAATTATAAATAAACATTTTCGTCATGTTTTAAATCTAACACAAATACATCATATGGAAATTCAGAAACAAATTTTTATTGGTAAATTAAGTGAAATTCTATATTTATTACCTGAACTTGATTCATTACAAATTTATTCTTTATCATTTTCACAATCAATATGTTTGTCAAAGAAATAACTTGAAGATCTTTTGAATTTATGAACTAAAAATCGAATTACAAATTTTTTTTTCTCAAGTGATTAACTCTGATAGAAGAAGTTTATCTTCTCATTGATATTTCTCCTCATATCAATCATCTTCAAGTCAATTTGATTCATTCTATGGATATTGAATTATTTGTGTGACTTATTTTAATGGATATTATAACCAAATTTCATCATTCACTTCAATTATTGTGTTTTTGTGTAGTTGCAAGAGATGATACAATGGTTCAAAAATTAGAAAAAAATGATCAATATCGAGAATCTACTTTTTGGTTTTATAGTGAAATGTGTAATCAATGAGATTTATTTACAATGATAATAGTTATAGTATTTGTTGTATTTATTCTTGTTTGACATTGTTTAATAAGAGGTTTCATAGCGTCATGAAGAAAATGTTTATAATTGAAAATCTTAATATATTAATCTAACTGCTCGACTACCGTGTGTCGAAATGATTGTGATAGTAAACATTAACCAGTAAACTGTTTACATTTTACTCTTTCTAATATTCGCTTTACCAAACTTGAAATATATCAAATGTTCAGCAGTAGAATTCTCCACATCCGTTTCAATTTGCACCATAATTTTGGACACGAAATATAACTTGAAACTTTTACATGTTATTACTTTCTCTAAAGGTAGAGATTATGTTGAAGCTGAGGGTTGGTGTGGGTGTGGTTAAATAATCTACACCCAAACCCACAAGCAAAATAGGATGCTATGTGTAATTCAGAAATTTTTATATGGGACCCTGTACGATATCTTACAAAAATTTCCTAAATCCTAGCGGAATCGATGAAGAGCATGACATTATGTTTAGCCAGAATTCAATTATCAGATTTCTAAAATGCTAATAGGCGCATAATCCCATTTGAAGAAAATATCGAAAGTAATCGATGAATGGGTTTCTGTGAATAAGGTGAGATGAGCGTAGAATTTTACAGGACCAATCAAAATTCCATTGATCACAATAACATGTTGTGTTTTGTTATAGAAATTAGTAAATAATAAGTAAGACTTTCTCTCTGAACCGAAATCCTTTTAATCGAACAACATTTCGTTGTGAATACCAAAATACAGATTTAAATATCATTGGATATTCTTGAAATCTCACTTAGAGTAGTAAAATTCTCTTTATAGAGTTTAGCTTATGTTCAAGTCATCTTCGAAGAACTACTTGTTTTTCATTTCATGACTGCGATCACCTCGAGTAGAGATTTTAAGCAAAATTACGACATCGAACCAAAATCACCTTAGCTGATTAAAACTTTGAAATCGCAACCAAAATATTGAGCAATTTCTGCTGACAGTAATCAAACTTTTTTTTTGAAAGAATGAACTTCTGCTGCTTACAAACTGTAGTTTATCTCTAGGTCCTTTGTCTAAAGAAATAGTAGTCTTTCAGTTTGTTACCGTCGTAATCACACTTAGTACTCATATGGCTCTTTTCTGTGATCGATAGTGACTGTTCCAATGCTGTCATAGAATTTCCTATGTTACAGCAAAAAAAAGTAAAAGCCATCATGTCAAAACCATTGCCACTACTGAACTCGGTAACCGATATGGTCTATTTCTAAACTGGTTTTATTAAGCATAAGACACTTGAACTGAGCACGCTTGTTCGAAACTGTCTTTAAAGATACATCGAATATAATAGGTACGAAAACATGTTAATAAGATGATCAAGAAAAATGACACAAGTTGTCATGCTGTCAACCTGCCAATTTTTGCTGCTTACCCGATGGTTTCCTTACTGTGTTGTTTGATGCCATGTCAATCGATTAATGGCAAGGAAAAACTATGCAATCTAGAAGTAGAACAAAGCAGATTGTAATTTTAGTCGGTTGTAGATGCTCAAGTATGACGGTGATTTTCTATTCTCTTTTTCATAGTCAAAGATGATCGTTCCAACTAATAATCATTGTTCCTTAGAATCATAAGATCGACCAGAATCTCCTTTTCCTTAGTTAGCGAATGCATCATTATCAATCGGTTAAGGGATTCTATCCAATTCACCTACTGTTTGTACTGAAAATAGAATATTAATGTAAGTATACTAGTGGACAAAAGTTCCAATGAGTGTGGGTGTGGATGTGGGATGTGAGTCTTCTATACATCCACACCCCCATCCACTCACACCCACACCCTTTCCACCGCACTACCCGGTTTTCGAAGAGATTTTCGCGGTTTTTGTGATTTTTGGGAAGACTACTTTTTTTACTTCTATCAGAATGGAATAGACATTCTTTTATCGTATAGTACGACCTATAGTGCTAGCTTACGCCATCTATTGCGTGCTTTCAAAAATTCCACATAAATATTATCAATATATCATTATTTCCTGCATTTGAAGAAAAAAATCATTTCTAAAACTTCTTTAACGATTTTCTCAGAACATAGTTTCCCATCAGGAAAATTGAAATAACTTCCTCTCGGATCGCGCTATATACAATATGTTTTTGTGTTTTAAAGGTCTCAATGAGACTAAACTTTTGTCCGACCAGTTTTTTTAAAGTCGATTCCTACGATGAAAAAAGTGGAATTTACTGTCGTTTGATCACCATTTTGTATACTAACTTTTAGACCCTTCCACTAAAATGGTCATAAAAAATCAATAAGATTGAATATAAAACTTCTGTTCGGACAAAAGTTGCGCGCTGACATTAGCTTTAATTTGAGACCAGCCCGAGCTCGACATCTCGTATTATGATGAAGTTATATCGATTCTCCTGAAGATCAAAAATGACCTATGATTCAGCTGAAACCCCTGTCTAGTAAGGCCAATCGGGCTAAAATTTTTACGAGGAGTATACCTCTCCAGGATCACTCATCTCTGAAGTTTTCAGCTCAAAAGACCCATTCTAAGTGTGAATTCATTTCTGAGGGGGGGGGGGCGGGGAGGGCTTAAACCCATATAGAACACTACAGCTAATACAGGAATTTAATGAACATCTCACTAATAAAGTCATCACTGAATGACAAACGTCTTCACACCGATGAATCACTACGTTCACCAATAGGGCACTATTATTCATTGACTTCAAACTACTGTAGTATTACTGAAACTCAACATAGACAACGAAAGCTTTTGCAGAAGTCTTTGCAGAGTAATGTGCAACTCAAAAAGTACTTATATAGAAAACATTGTTAATTTCATAAAATACTTAGTGTAAGAGAAGATTCATCTATCCAGGTTTGTTACACTACATTTTTTTCTCATAAGTTTGTATATAGTTTTATTCGTCATTTGATTCTCTATCATGCAGCATATGACATAGAATTATATCTTCAGCTTAAAGTTTAAAAATATGCCAAAAAATGATCATAAGTGGAAAAAGAAAATTTTTGTGTTATTTGATTTTGCGAGCATATAAAACATGTATTTTTTTTCAAGGTTAGTTTGAAAATAAAAATTCTACTCCGCTTACTACACCCAGAATTGAGTAGCGCATCTTTTGGTAAGAACAGATTTTTATGGTAACATGCCATAGTTTTGGAATTTTTGGCAAGGTTTTCCAAAAATACTATTGAACAGGTAAAATGTACGTTCATAGAAAAATCTTTGTTTCTCATAGAATACTCATTGTATAATTGCAAAATTTTCAGGATATATACAACTCATGATGTTCTATCAAAATATGCAAAAATTCGGTTAAAATCTTTTATTCGAAAAATTTTCGAAATTTTATAGTGGCATGAGGTCCAAAATGACTTTTAGCTTGCGGAAGACATAATTCTGCCACAATCAGGCAGAACGCCATAAAAACTTCAGGATATATGTAGTTTGACAAGCTCTATAAATTGGTGAAAAAAATTGATAGGTGAGGGTACGGGCGGTCAGCTCCGCCTTAATCACATATTCTGTTATTTGAATACCAAATGCGGTTCGTTCTTTATTGTGAGAATTCTCAATAATACGCAGATTAAATTCTGAAGAAATATAATAGCTAATTTAGCCTCAGTATAATGCGGAGGTTGAAGTCATGTGTTACATTCGCAAACGAGAATCTCTCAAGTGATATCATTTTAAAAGATATTGATTTTATGCAGCATAAACACGAGTGAAATTGACAAAAATCAACGAAGCAAAGTCATTGCTTTCAATATCACAGCACAATTTTTCTATACAATGCAAAAGGAAAAAAAAACACGAAGGGCCAATAAGACATTGACGACTATGCCAGTTAAAAAAATTGCATGATCATATAGAATCTAGTTGTTGTTCTCTAAAAGGCGACGTACAGCGAATACATGTGTTGTAGAAGTATTTCTGTTTCACTCCAAACTTTCTTTCGTTCGGTCTAAAATAAACATATTATTTACAACGTGGCCTTTTGCGATACTCAGAGTCAAAGTGTAGCTGTTTCTCTTATCAGGTTTATTTTTCAAATCGACACGTGTTTCACATCTTAGTTCGAACGAGAAAAAAGAGAGCGAAAATAGGCGATAAATTTTTAAAAATTATAAGATTGCGCCCACACATTTCGGACCGTGTAGAGTCAATGGTTTTCTTTTCTTCGTTCATAGGCAGATACATTTTTCACATGTATGGCATTGCTAACTGCTATAGCGACTAGTTGAGATAAACTAATTCCAATTACGTGTATTAATGAAGGTCATTTTACTGCATTATTAATTATTAATTATTTTTCTTCCTATTGTTAGATATTAACTCAATTAAATTGTTAATATTAAATGTTTTATATTTAAAATTCCTTTAAATGCAATTACAATAAGACGTTTCAGAGATGTCTATCTCCTTCTTCAGTTTGTATTTATTAGTGTTGTTTTTTGTTGTTGTTATTTAAAGTGCGTGTTTGACTATTCTTGATTCTTTTTGTTTTTTCTAACAGTGGAACGGACGATAAAAACATACAAATTTTATAGACCAGTATTACCGTCTTGTCATTCAATTCCACTATGAGAGAAAAACAAAAAGAATCAAGAATGGTCAAATATGTACTTTAAATAACAATAACAAAAAACAACACTAATAAATACAAACTAAAGAAAAAGGTAGATATCTCTGAAACGTCTTATTGTAAATACGTTTAAATGAATTTTAAATAAAAAACATTTAATATTAACAATTTAATTGAATTAATAACTAACAATAGGAAGAAAAAGAATTAATAATGCAGTAAACCAATTTCAAGTCTAAATTTGAAATTGGTGTACCCTTAACGGCTAGTGAACCATCGAATTTTAATAGACTGCTCAGAAGTGACAGATTTCTGGCAAAAAATGAGCACGAAGCGCATGATTCACATTGTATGTCTTAATGACTTTTAGATAACGTAAATCATCGTATCTAAGAAAATGCCATTGAAAATTATCGGTGTCGGTTTGGGGCGTACAGGAACTGAAAGTACGAAGGTGGCTCTCAATCAACTTGGTTTCAAATGTTATCACATGACCGAAGTACTTAAAAAGGGTCGCACAGCAATTCGACTGTGGATTGATGCTGCTGATAATCACTCTTGCACTGACTGGGATCGAATATTCGACGGTTATGATGCAACAGTCGACTGGCCCGCCGCTCATTTTTGGAAAACATTGATCGACTATTATCCGGATGCGAAAGTTATTCTGAACGTTCGTGATCCCGAAAAATGGTACTCAAGTGTGCATGATACAATATTTGCAATGAGCAGCAGTTTTGTCTTACCAATATTATCCATGTTCTCGCCAAATATGTTCGGTTTTGGCGAAATGGTAAAAAAGATTGTCTGGACAGGGACGTTTGATAACCGATTCACTGATAAATCGTATGCAATCGAGAAATTCCGTATCCACAACGCCGAAGTAGAACGTATCGTATCGAAAGATCGCCTGTTGCTGTTTAATGTTAAGGAAGGATGGGAACCATTATGTACATTTCTCAACCTACCCATCCCCGATACATCATTTCCACATATGAATGATACAAACAGCATGCGAACGAGATTTGCAAATGCAAAGCGAATAATTTATGGCTTCTTTGCTTTCATAACGGTAATTATCGCAGCTGTATTGTATTATTTTCTCAATTGAACATTGCATCACATAATATCGTCCTCGATTACCGACTGAATCAAATAGAGACACTAATGACTTTTTTGTGTGTTCTACATAGAATATTTGGATTTACATGTAATCTGATTTAATAAAAATGAACCATCACTTCTTTTTTTTCTACTATGAGCAAAAAGTAACTTGATGGTGTGGGTGTGAGTCAGTAGAAGTTCGACACCCACACCCCACACCCACACCCACACCCACACCCCACGCCCACACCCATAATGATGATAATATCCAGTACTTTGTCTGTTACTGCAAGTGTGTTTTTATTGATGTCCCTTGATCCATGACAATCGCAATCATTACGGCTTTAGTGTTTTTTTTCGCTAACCATGGTAGCACTATCAAAGTGGACTCATAGTCGCCATACAGCGAAATCGTATGCTGGCTAACAACCAGATCCGTAAATACTTACCAACTATAATATTCAATCGAAAAAGCGAATACTGTAAAGAAGTTTTTGTTGTTATAGATCAACAGAAATCATACGACTAATTTTCTTCAAGAAAATAATATTTGTTCGTAAACCATGCATTTAAAATATCTACTTTGCACTATTAACAAAATATTTTACAATTGATTCCATTGAAATGAATGCTACGAGTTTGAAAGCACAGCCTTTTATAGGCATAGCTGTTATCTTTTTTCGCTTTTCTTTGAACACATTTGTGGAAGTCTTATCTTTACTTCTATTCATGTGTTTATATTTCTCAACAAGACGTATATCTTCTGATAGTAACGTAATGCATGAAAACTGCTGTGCAATGATCAAATTATGATAAAGTTTGTAATTTAATAAAAACGTGACCGATTTGAATACGCGAAAAAGCGTGATGGAATTTTGTTTATATTAAAATTCTATTCCGTGTTAGTTTCAAGTATAGTTCGATGTATATTACATAAGTGAACAATACACGGTTATCATGCTTTGATTATAATTATTCATATCATCTTCAACGAAAGGGAATTATATTCATTTCACTTGCATCAATTAATATGATACTTCTAGAAAAAAATTGCATTATAGCTATCTATAAAGGCATGCACGGGACTGGAATAACATTGAGATGTTATTTCTGTCCTCGTAAATAACACAGCATATTTTTTTAATAATTGAATTCTATTCTAAACTATGAACACACTACATCTTGTTGTGACAATCAATTTTTTGACGGCATTCATCTCCTTCATGAATGATTAGGCTAATGTTGTTCAATACAGCGTTTATTTTTATTGTCTGAAATATGATAGTATATGCATATATGTTCAGACAGAAAACCAAACCAAACGAAAAGCAAATCTATTCATACAGATGTTCATGAAGAGAGAACATAACATGAGTCTGTTTTTCTAAAGATGAATGAAACACCACTAGTCAATACTGATGAACTAATGAATGAGATAAATTTCTGATGAAATATCTATCACGCCAACTAGTAACATAAGCTGTCAGACTCGAAGAAGTTCGTAGTTTTACCCAATTCTATCTTATTAGTTATTTAATCGACTTCCAATACATTGATTAAATTTATTATGTTAAAAAATCACTCAAAATTCTAATCTTTATTTGGGATCATTACTGTGAACAAATTTTCCTTCCTCTTTCATACGTCAATGTATGTGCAATACTGTTACGTTTCAGACAACATAAAAACAAATACAGACGAAAACTTCAAGTTAACCATTCATGGGACGAAAAATCTTTTAAAAAATCTTTGCTTCCCACAACATTGTAACATGAGTTCATGGTATACTTTTCGTAACAACGACACTTTACGGACTGCGATTTTAAAATTTTCTTTTTCAACTCATTGACGTAATGACAAAAGTGTATTCTGATATTAACTGTGATATATTCTAATGTTCTCCCTCCTTTTATAGAGAACGAGAGGAGCAATAGAGCGAAATGATCGTGAGAGCCGCGGATATTACGCAGTTCCCAAAACAAACCCAGTCTGGTATAAAGCCCATCCATTTTCACTATCGTACTCATTCAATGTGTTGTTTGCAATGCTTAAGGCAGAATTGGGAAATATACAGAAGAATCAATTTACTCAATAAGAAAAGTATGTGGGACGGTCTATAAAGGAGATTCGCTCCAGAGACATAACATACCAATGTTCTGATTGTTCCAGTAGCAAATATCTCTTTAATTACATAAGACATCATCAACTCTGTATACAGAAACTCTTGTATGTATTTTCATTATAGATTGGAAAAATTTTTTCGATTCAATTCCCGGAGATCTATTCTAGGAAATGCAGGATAGTACCCATGCCTTATTTGTCTCACAATTGTACTCAACTTGCGTAAGAAAGAGAACGTGGTTTCTTTCATTCTTTCAGAAAATATACTTCTTATTTGTGGTACATTCAGACAAATGCAGTGCTTAAGATATTCAATATACTTAAGTGCACATTCGATCTTCAGTCAACCTCTCTATTGCAATATCTTTGATAAAAACACATCACATCCAAAACAAAAATTTCGTTCCTATAGCAAAGTTCGATCACAACGGTCAAGTCCTAAAATAAGAAAGTTCGTTTCTGATTGGCCGGTTTCTGACCAATGAAACCTCCGTCAAAGAAATAGGCCTCGGATTCGGATTGGGGACCCTGGATAACCTATAGCAAACTTTCATCAAAACGGTGAAGTCTTAAAATAAGGTAATCCCGCATATATGTTTTTTTGAGCCCAATCAAGCAAGCAACCAAGCAAACAAACGCACTTTATTTCGTATGAACCTCCCTTCAGTCGAAGCAATAATCCTTTATACAAAATTTCTCGGGTACCAACCTCGGAAACTAATAGCAGGTTGGATGTGAGGTGTGGCTGTGTTGTTCTTCTATACATCCACATCAGCAATATGCTACGCACGCCAACACTCCACACCCTATATACACCCATTACTGTGACTGATGTCATTTTGGGTGTCGGTGTGGGTACGGCTGTGGGTGTAGAAAAGAGAAATACCCACACCCACCCACACCCCAACTTGAATATGGGAGTTTCTATCTGAATTGCAAATCTTCGTCAAACTGAAGAATGATCCTCTTTATTCCAATACACTCCATCTTTGATATTGGCAAAAATTATGCAACTGTGGAAGCGAAAAAATATCGTCATAGGTATAAAAATAGCGGCCAAAACATCCCAGTTTCTGCCATAGACACAAATTTGAATTTGATTTGTTTGATATCCTTTAGCACTGAATGTATCAAATAGCCATATGGCAAAACTTAATATAATCCACATCTTATTGATCCCTGTAGTTAGCTTTCTATGGTATTGACGAGCCTGCCAAATAACTATTGATTGAAGCATCGTCTGAATAATTGGTATAACTGAAGCAGACAGCGTCAACCATCGTATATATTGAGTCAATTTATCCTCTGATTTAGTTTTGACTGAACCAACAAAAGTAAGACCAGAATAAATGTTCAAGAAAATGTTCGCGATGAGTAAAAACGAAAAGTCAATTTTGAATTTAATATTAAATGTTTGAACAGATGACTTTTTTTCTATATAATTAACTGAGTCAACAGTTGGCTTTTGTTTTGGATTATTAACTGGTTCAACAGTTGGCTTTTGTTCTGAATTATTAACTGTTTCAGCAGTTGGCTTTTGTTCTGGATTATTAGCTGTTTCAACAGTTGGCTTTTGTTCTGGATTATTAACCGTTTCAACAGTTGGCTCTTGTTTTGGATTATTATTTTTATTACCCAATTTGCTTAATGAATAAATCGAATGTAAGGAAATAATAAGTGCAAGAATCACTTCGCAGATTTCACTAATCAACGTTAACAGGCTACTGTTCTTATTACTGATCTCAGTAACCCGATGATCGGCATCATCCGTATTGAATTCTTCAAACAAAACGATGACTATTGAAAGACTGACTAGAAAAACTCCGCTAACAGGAACAAGAATCGATGAGAATAATATGTCATCTTTTCCTAATGGACGTTTTATTTTCGTAAAACAACCGGAAATAAATGAAAGCACCTCCTTCAGACAGTTGTTGATCATTGTCATTTTTCTCTTACTAATATAGCTCTTCCAAGGTATCTTCTGACTTAACCAATTATAAAATTTCAACAGAACATTCTTCTTATCGTCCCGAACACATTCAGACATTATTAACAGTTCAATAAAGGAAGCAAATCGATATTCCAAACCCAATGGATATAAATATGGTGTGATTTTGTCGAATTTTTTCACACCCTGATTCGTGGGCAAAGCACAGGAGTCAGCTTTCTTTTTGTGATTGTGGACTTCTTGGAAAAGTATTTGTACCCACTGAATTAAACAAAATATTGCTAAACACGTTACAAATATTTTCGACGCTTGAGACTTGAGTTTGATCGAATGATTAAGATGATGAATGATGAACATTAATATGGATAATTGGCACAAGCTTTTCAACAAATTTGCCGCCATTGATACAGCAATATTGGTCGAACAGTGAGAATCCGATGCATAATTTTTGTTTATAATCAAAATGAGCTGATCGCCAAATCTTGTCATAATAAACAACGAATCACCAACTCCGAGAATAAAAAGAAATGTAAGCACAATGTTCGAGTGTTTGTGGCTATCGGCAGAAGCTCTGTGTTGGGGAGAATCACTATTATCAATAGAAAGTATTATTGTAATAATACCACAGATTGTTACCGCATAGGTGACCATTAGTAGAATATCAGCAATTCGGCCCTTTTCGTTGAATGCTGTTGAACTTGAGCCAAACAATGCAAATCCAATTAGAATTACCGATGATAGAGGCAGAAGAATCAAGAAAAAAGTCCAGAAGCACCATCGCAACCGTTTTCGAAGCGTCTTGTCATCAGAATGCGATTTATCGTCATTAGAATGATTCAGAACTAAGCCTCCGGTTAGGTCAAAATCACCCATTCCTTTTCTAAACAAAATCGATGGAACACACTTTTAAATATAAAATCTCCCTGATCCGGATAAACGGTTGATGTGTTCTTCGATTTTTTCTGTGTGCTATATTCGTTTGATGTTTAAAAGACGCCATCGAACATCAAATATCACAGCGAAGGGTGTGGGTGTGAGTGAGTGTGGGTGTGAGTGTGAGTGGGTGTGGGTGTGAGTGGGTGTGGGTGTGAGTGGGTGTGGGTGTGAGTGGGTGTGGGTGTGAGTGGGTGTGAGTGGGTGTGGGTGTGAGTGGGTGTGGGTGTGAGTGGGTGTGGGTGTGAGTGGGTGTGTTAATGTTTCCTTCATTCATGCTCACTCAGACCTACACCCAACCCATACTCANTCGTCTCGAAGCAAAGACATTAACTCTGGCATATTATAAATAGAAGATTTTGGATAACTGACTTCTTTTACAGAACTTTATTTTACATACTAATCAATTCTCAGAAAAACATCTATAACGTTTTATTCATTCGAGTTGATGCCTAGTGTTATCTATGGTTTTATACAGCATTGAATGGTCTACAGATTGCTAATTTAGAACTGCTTCACAATCCAACTTACACAAATGATGAATAGCGAAAAAACATTTGTTTGTTTTGTCGAGATGTACTTTTTTGCCCCTTTTCAGCATTACCTTACAGCTAACCGATCTTAAGTCAAGAATATATTCTGAATATAAATTAGAAGAGAACAAATAAGACTCATTCTAACAAGCTACTCCTGATTCATTTCAAATAGTTTTAGTCAATGAAAGATGAAATAAGATTCATAGAAAAACTTGTTATACAAATATCTTTTTTTGACTGGCAAATATTTTACCCATTTGTGATCAATATTGAGTCAGAGAAATATTCTGATCAGATAATGGTAAAGAACACAAAAATTTCATTTTAGCTAACTACTTTTGATTCTTATTATTGACATTCAGGTGACGGAAAAATGAGTAAAGATTTTATGTAAGGACTTTTGCTACATGATTCATTTATCGAACAAGTTGAAAGCCCCGAGTTTTAGCAGCTACAGAACATTTGGATGAAGCATAACTATAAAAGAAGCATTTTTCATGTTCTTTTTGTTCTGTTCAAGAAAAAAGTGAATGCAAGTTCAAATTTATTTATATGAAGAAACATCATGTTAATTAAAAATAATTCCAAAGACATGATTGTGACTGATCTTCAGTATGAACAGTAACAAAATTAATTGCATCTTAGATATTGCATTCAATCGTTGTACCATAAACCTTTTTTTCGGTCTATTGTGTATATTGTTTCACTCACATGTTTTTGTTTTATTATTGATTATGAATATTAATTTTTATCTGAAAGTTACATTGGTCACTTATTCATCGAGATTAAAACAAATATTTTCAAAATCATGCCTATAAAAACGAATAAAATCAATCAATTGTTCTTAGTGATCATAATCATGTCACTTCGTGTGTTTTGTGACTCTTTGATAATTTTGATTTCTTATTCAGATTGTTGATGTAGGTGCTTATTTTTCTTCATTCACAACAATAAAATGAATTTATTAAGAATGTTGAGTTTCAATTATTTGACTTCGATAAAATATAAGAATGATACAGTTAGTAAAAGACATTATTGTGCATTACTCGGTTTATTAATCTGTTTGATGCTACCTATATCTACTTAATTACAAAGATAATATCCTCAAAACTCAGATCCGAAGAATTCACTTCCAAGGTTGAGCTTCAAAACTTACATGTGATGTTAAATAGGGTGTGGGTGTGGGTGTAAGTCTCCTATTCACCTATCACAGCCACATCTACGCCACATCCACATCCCTGTGTACCGTTGATCAAAAGTCATAGTTCAATCAGACAACTTCATGTAACTGAATACAGTGATGATCACATTCGATGATTCAAATACTTGATTATCGTCCATTTAAAAGAAACGCGAAACAAAATGTTATTTGAAACATTAGCGACTTTAGAGCTAAGAGGAAAAAGTACATCCAAGTAGAAAAAATTGTTCAAAGTATGTGGAAGTAGCTTTAAGTGTTAAGAAGTAATTTCATATGTATTGAAGTATTTCGAACTACTTCAAACTATCTTAAAGTACAGAATTTTGCTTCTCCCTTCCCTTCATAGCAAATATCTTTGATGTTTTTCGTGGAGTATGTATTAATCAAAACATAAAAACGCATCCAATAGAATTCTGTACAAACATTATTTTCGATTTTATCAAACATTCTGTTTATCGTTAGTCAATTGTGACTAAGAGAAATATTTTGATCAAATATTTGGAAAGAGAACAAAAATCTCATTTTAGCTAGCTATTTTTGGTTCTCACTGATGATGTTCAGGCGACTGAAAAATGAATAAATATTTTGCCTGGAAACTTTTGCAATAGGAGTTAACAGTCTTTTGTACATATATGAGATAACAGAGTTAATGCTCGTGCACATATTCATTCAAAGCTTTCTTTCTTTCGTCCTTATTTTTGTCATAGATTCTAGAAATAGAATTAATTTTTATGAAAAGTGCTGTCGTTCGATATCATTAGTGATTGTTAATAATGTCGAATATTCGATGTTGGAGAATTGTCAAACATAGGATATTAAAATTTTCGTTTATTAACGCTACTTCAATAAAATTTGCATAATTATGATGTGGAGATAGTGAAACGTTGATATATATGCATTATGTGCAACAGTAGGTTCGATTACAGTTGGATTATTATTGATTATTTGTCTGTGAAGCTGACAATGATGATGATGATTTGTTTCAGCTATTGTTGTTGTTTAAAAAAATGAAAATAAAATCATATTTTGCTTGGTTTTCATCGAGATGTTATATAAAATAATAAACGTAATTAATATAATAAATGCAATTTGGATTTAGCCCCCAAAGTTTGAAAAATATGTCTGACTTTCTGCCAAAATTTTAAACACGTTCTGCGAAGGGTGCGAATGTGAGCGTTTGTCTTCTCTTCAATTATACCCACATCGACTCCCCAAAAATGAAAATCATTTGACATTTCCATTTTTCGGAACTCTTTATGTGTGTTGATTTGAAGACTTTTTCTAGCTTTTCTTCTTTCAGCAGCTAATGAAACCTTAAAAAGAAAACATAATGTGAGTGAAAAAAACGATGAAGTTTCTCGAATTGTGTAAAACTAATTTGTTGTCTTCTTGAATGATATACTGGAGAGGATTGAAATTTTCGGTGATGAAATGACTACTTGATACAGTGAAGATTTAAATTGATGAGAATATTTTCATTATATAGTAATCCAAAAATTTAATCAATCAAATCAGAGTAGGTTATGAATACAAATTTATATATAATTAAGAGCCACTTGACGTATGTCATGAACGAGTCTGCTTCAAGTGTTCTCTCCAGAAGAAAATTCATGGTTAATATATTGTGTACACATAGCTGGTACTTCATACTCGTTGTCTGCATTTAGCCAGCCCTCTTTACTCGACAGATTCCTGAAAAATAATTGTTTTTGGCTTTAAAAAACTGCAAGTAAATGAAAGAACCATTTTTTAATATAGTTGATCAAGTTATTAAACAATGTACCACATAGATTTGTCACGGACTAATTGTTCTTCACCAACTTGAAGCAAGTTATCATCAATAAATCGTTTCTAACTTTTGAATTCTTACAGATAAAAAACAAATAAGGATGTAAATTAGTACTTCATTGTATAGTTTTCATTTGATATTCATATTAACCTGTGAATTACATAAATGTAAAATTTTTTAAGAGTTTTAACGAATAATTAACTATTTAGTTATAGTGATGCATACATATAGTGCATAGGTCAAAAAATTTCAGAACAAAATATATTTTAGTAGATAACAACTTAGAAACTCCTTTTGATAACAAACTATTAAAAAAGTTACGAGTATAGGCGATGCACACAACTCAGATGAACTATAATTTTGTATGTAAGAATACAAATTAAAACATCCTCAATAATATAAATTTTTTAGAAGGTCATAGATTTTCTAATGAGGCTTGGTTCTAAAGTTGCTTTTTTTCTGATAATATCGGTCATTTATGACCTGATCGACGGACGTTCTTCCTAAATAATATTCTTTTTTTACTTTTCTT